AACTACTGCTGCTGCTTTTGCTTCTGCTGCCAACTATGAGCCAGGGGAAGTCCCCAGTCTCCCCCCCATTCCGTGCCCAAATCCCCCCTTTCCACAACCCTTAGCCCAGAATGTGGCCAGTGGCAGGCAGCCAACCAGAGCGTAGAGCAAACTGGAGCATTGCAACTATTTATTTGTTGTTCGCCGCCCCAGGAGGCAGGGATTTTTTCTATTACGCGCTCGTTTATTACGGGCATTCCAGCTCACGCCTAAGTGTATGCAGTTTTCCTCCTTGTTATTGTTTTTTTCTTTTTTTTCTATTTTTTTGTTGCTATCCTTTCTGGCAGGACAAGGGATTCCCTCTAAGCAGTTGCGGTCAAAGGAGCACCCGTTTTAAATTCCTGCGCTTCGCACAAATTAAGCGATTCCCTTTGGCCCGATTGATGGGCAACCGACAATTGCTAAGCTCCTCAGTCGGAGCCTGATTCACAATCAAAGTCGGAGTCAGTCTTTGGCCGGAAAAGTTGCCGGGAAAGGCGAAAGCCCCGGGAAGAGCTGCTAAACCGGAGACAGACAGGGACAGGGACAGTGGGAGAGCGAGCAAAAAAATAGCGGAGAAAGCGAAACTTTTTAATGATGTAAAGTACAAAGTTTTCTGTCTTGTCGCTGGCGCAAGTAACTTGAGTAAACTTTGAGTTATGCCCTCCCAGCCTTAGATGCGAAATCCGAGGCAGTAGCAGCGGCGGCGACGACGACGACCTCAAAGCGCAGGACGACATCCTTTTGCACCCACAGGCAGGACATCATCGATCGATGCGGGTGGCGGGAACTGCGGCTGGTATTTTGTCGTTTGTTAAAAGTTTTCAACACTCATTTTTATTATGACATACGCGCGAAGTACGATCCAAATTAGTGGCAAATTCAGGGGAGTTCTGTGGGGGCGTGCTGGAAATGGTTGCGCTAATAAAATGCCAATTTGCTGCCATTGAATGGCTGCTTTATTGGCCGCCATTACAACTCGTACGCATAAAGGGCCATGCCACATCCTCCTGTATATGTACGTATGTACATACACCCACACACATGCGTGCGGAAGGACCTCTTGAAGGAGAAATTTTATGACGGCAACATTTACACGCATAAAATATGCATGATAAAACTTTGTTGTTGCAATAAATCAGCCACCCCAAAAATTGTGCAGCTCCTTACTTGGCCAGCCGGCCTGATGTGATTACAAAACCATTCCGAAACCGGGAAGCGCGTACAGGGTATCCTTTATTTATGTCCTGCGTGATCCGAGTTCATCGCGATGCGGTCGTAATGAGTTCCCCGAGCAAATCAATTTATTTTAGCCCCTCGCACCGCTGTCAAACTACTTAAACTGCCATTAAACTATCGAAAGTGAAGGATGCGAAATATATTTGTAAAAAAAATGCAAGAATGGAAAAGAGGGAAAACTTTTGCGGCTTGCTCAATCAGAAGTACTACAAAATGAAAAAAAAAAAAAATGAAGCCCTGCTTTGTTAGAGGTGCAAATGCCTCACAAACAGACAGAGCAAGTCGCCTTCACCAACTTTTTTGGCCATTGTGTTTTGACTGCCTTTGTTGCATGCATAAAATATTTATGCTCTGGAAAATATGCAGCAACAAAAACGGAGGGGTTGCCTTTCCCCTGCAACTTTTTGCCATGTGCGTGCAACTTTTCACACTCAAATGAAATTACGAGGGAAAAAAAGGAAAACTTTGCTACTTAAATGTAGCGCTCTCTCTCGCTGTTCCCATTCTGCCTCGTTTTTATCGCTTTCTGCACTTTATCAACCATTTTGCCGTGGCTCAGTGAACGCTCAATTGCCGGCTGCCACAAGGAGAGCGAAGGAGATAGATGCGAACTTTTCATTAATAACGATTTTCCATTAACTATCGATTGATTTCGAGTCCCCAGGACAACAGTGTTCAGTGACAGCAGCATCCCGCCACCAGGCGCAACAACAATGAGCCGCGGCAGCAAACGCACTTCAGACAATGCCTGCAACCGGCAGCTACCAACAACACTTGAGTCTATTTAAAACGCAAACAACAATAAACCGACCGGGGGCAGGGGGTGCTATTTAAAGGGGGCTCATAACCGAGGACGACGCCGCCGACGCCGACAGGAAAAACTCATTGAAAAGTTTTTCTTTTTTACACTTGGCGCGCTCTCCCGTTTCGCCAGGACCTCCGTTCCAATCCACTCCACTGCTTGCCCCGCGCGATCCACACACCTAAGCGGTGTATCGGAGGAGGAAGTTTTTAATTTTTTATCCTGCCACAGCCAACTCTGGCCAACTCTCTGTGCAACGGACCTGGTTACGCTTATTTGGGATCGCGGGTGTCCTGGATTTTTTCTGGCATAATTTCCTGGATGTTATCAAAGAATTTCTTTGATTAGTGTAATTGACTTTATCATTCAGCATCTATACCGAAATTACTAAATTGACCACGTAAGGAAGTTGTACACTGAAGTTGTACAAGTTGTACAAGTGGTGTACACAGTTGTACACCAAATGCTTCTAGTCCGCATATTTGACTTATTTTCTCATTTTAATGCAAACTCGCAAGCGCCTTCTTAAGTAATTTCAATGTACTACTCATTAAATAATGCAAATTTTAAATTTCCGAGTTGTGCAGTAAAATAAAGTCTCCTTGTGGTTGCTAAATTTAGTTCTAATAGCAAGCTATAAAAAAGCTCTGCTTGTGGGTTAAGAACAGTTCAAGTTTCGCAAAAGGCTAGACAATAAAGTTTTTAAAACCTTTCAACTTGCCCCAGTTCCACGTTTATTTCTCCCATCATCTGTTATTGCTGATGATTTAAAGAACTTGATGTTAAAAGTTTCTTCTATTTGAGAATCCTCCAGAGTATGATCACTCCGACTTGGCAGGTGTATGTCTTCCACCTCACTACTCCATCAAGTTCTTGTGCAGTTCCTCATCCTTCGTCCTTGTTGGCTAACACGCGTTACGTTCACGCCGGCTGTGCTGGCTCCTTCGTCCTTTTTTTGCTCCTGCGAGTATTACGGGTAATGCCTTTTGTGTAGGTCGTCGGCATTGCGTTTTCTGGTGCTATTTTTTCTTACTTTTTCATTATTTTTGTATATTTCTTTTTTGTCGGTTTTGTTTTGCTTCTACCATTTTTATATAGCCGAAGACCGCGCGCGCCCAATATATATAAATTATTGCATAAAGTTTGGCGCTAAGTTGCAAAAAGTTTCCTTTCATTGCTGCCGCTGCTGCGGCAGCAGCGTGAACGACACACAATAGTCTATAAATCTTTATGGTCAACAGAGATTACATGGGCCTGGCCCAGACGCGGCGAAGAAAGCCTTCGTGTAGTTTACTGCCCCCGAGCCGTATCCTCTGGCCTTAGCAGCTTTTTAGGCGCTGTGTGCGTTGTTTTGATTTGTGTCCTCCTATTCCCAACCATCCCTACCAGCTATTCCAGCTGTAGTGCCCAGTTGTTGTGGCTTTTGCCGATTGTTACGGCAATCGAGGGCAGAGTTCAGCATATGGCCATAAAAATGCGGTGCAGACGTGGTAGATGCTAGATAAATCATGCCAAAGCCCCAGAAAGTATGCACTGCCGGCTGCCGGCGAATGAATAGAAAAATTCTTGTAAAAATCAGCTACAGGAATCGCAGAGCTATCGTGGCACACCTTTAATTGCTTAAATTGTTCCCGTGCCGCGTGGGCTTCGTGGAACACGACTGGCAATTCGATTTCTCGTGGCCCCATAAACAACTTTTAAAAAGTATACAAAAAAAAGGGAAGAACGTATATAGGTTTACCGTTAGGATCATTTTACATAAAAATGCAATAAATAGCTACAACGAAATTTATGGTGGTCGTGGAGGCAAGGATCTATAAAAGGAGCGCGGGAGAGGGAGGGGCGAACAGGAAGGATGGAGGGCGCTGGACTCACTCGTAAATGTCAAATGTCCTGTGCCAAGGGTGTGGGGGCGCCTCAAAGTATGCTTATAAATTGCTCTAAATAGCAATTTTGGCTGCTCCACCTCTGGAGCTTCTGCCGCTCGGTGTCGTGTCATTTGTTCGTTTTCTTTATTAGTGTCATGTATTTTTATAGTTCAAAGGACATTTGAATGATTGAATGAACTGTTTGCCCTCCCTTAAGCCACCCACTGCCCAGTTCCACACCCACTTTTTCTGGCTTGCTTGACCGAAAACGAGTTGCGCGCATGATTTCATCCCTTGCAGCCAAAGGACTCGCTCTACGTGCGGTCAGCTCCTGCTCCTGGCCGATGTCCTGGTCAGCGGCCAGGCACGTTTCATCATGGCCAGCTTGTTGTTGGTCTGGCGACTATATCAAATAACGACTATTGGCTACGCCTGTGTGGCGCTCCGTGATGTCGTGTCCCCGTGTAGGGTTACACACCACCTACTGCCAAACCTTCCCTTCCCTTCCCATCCCATCCCACTCGATTCCATACGAATCCATCCAATCCCACTCCATGCTATCCCATCCCATCCCATCCCAGTGACCCTGTGGTGCTGATGATGATGTTGTTGTCGCCAAGCGTCGCCATCGCCATCGCCATCGTCGCTGGCGATGACGAATGAAAATCAATATTTATTAGATTACTTTCGAAATTTTATACGAAAATAGAATTTTTATGACATTTTTTCTCTCTGGTTTCGCCCTGGGCCAACTTTGCCATGTGCCTGGGCGTGTTAAAGTGTTTGCAATAATCAATTTTTGAGGGAAACTTGAGCGGGTCTTGCGACCCGAGCTTTAAAAGGGGTTTTGGCTGCGGAGATAGTGGGGCTTAAATGTGGTTTAATGCTTTGCGCAGTTCTCCTCTCTCTTATCGCCCATCATATTTAATTACAGTTTTCGTTTGCCACCCCCAGAGCACTCATAATGACTTAATTATACTTTAGCCAATTTTCCTACCACTACTAAAGTACTCTGCACTACCATATCACTTAATATTAAACATTTCCGTGTTCTCCCTTGTCTGTCTTTGCAGGTAAGTTGCCATCATCCATTAATACCACCAGCCATCAAATTAGTAAGTACACAAAACGAGCTGCTAACACTTTTTATGTGCGTCTTTAACTGTATCTGTATACACCTCTCTGTACAACCTTTGGCATTCCATTTCCCCCACCAGGGCCAATAGATATACGTGTACACGAATATAAAGCAAATGCATTTTAGTGCCCTCAGTTGACCTCGTTTGGGGCTTGTTTTTATGGCTCGGGCGAAGCCAAAGCGATGATGCTACTCACGTGGCTCAAAACTAAAAGCTCCCCTGTGTGTCTACCACCTCCCCGTCCCCCATCGCCGAATCTTGAGCTAGTTTCGGTGGGTGAACTCATCCCACCCCCCGGGAGTCACTTAATTATGAAGCTGCACATGAAGTAAAACGTCATAAAGCGTCGAGTTGAGTTGAGTTGAGTTGCGCCGAGCAGAGGCCATATACGGTTGACTTGGGAAGCATCATCCGTTCCCGTCTGTCTGCCAGTGCCGCTTACACATTCTTTTTTTTTTTTTTTATTTTGCAGGGGGCTTGGCAGTATTCTGCAGTTAATTTTCCGTTGCTAAATAAACTGTTTATGGCATTTATGCCAAAAATTTTTGGCCAAAAGAGAGCAAGGGTGTGGGGTGAGATGGAGATGGAGAGAAATCCCCGGATGAAGGATGACGATGGACCGACGTCTGAGTATGCGAGTGTGCGTGTGAGCTGAGCAATTTCTGCATAACCAACACAGAGGAGCGCTGTGTATCCGCATCCGGTTTGCCCGGAATTGCCTCTTAATTGTGATTTTCGAACAGCTTTAAGCCCGATAAAGGTTTTTTGCTCTGTGAATTAGAGAAATTGTTGCAGGATTCAAATTGAGTATGGCCGTAAATGACATGCTTTGACTTTGCACTTTTGAAGATCTGAGGAATCCGAGTAGACTAACTTGTATTATTTCGCTTATTGCAGAACGACTGTTGTGTGTTCACTGACCCCTCCACTCATACAGCAGAGTATATTTACATTTTATGCAAAGACACACACACACACACACACACACACACAGTCGCACAGCGGGCACACCCACGCATATACAGACAGACTCACACACTCGCCTTTATCCACTGACAATTTGGCAGTCACCGCAATCATAAAAATTTCCACTTTCAAGGAGGGCAGAGAAACAGGCCCGTCAGTCAGTCGCCTCTGCGCCTCATTTAAATGCAAATTTTTGACGAGCGGTTTTAACATTCTCCTCCTCCGCTGGCGGTGAATGAAAACATTAAAATTAAAAATAAAAAAGTAGTCTGCTTTTAGGCAGAACTCTCGGTGGTGTTTGTATATGGGTTTCTGTGTTTGTCTCTCTCTCTGTGTGTGGGTGTGTGTGTGTGCTCGTGAGAATAATTCAAGGTGATAGCTTAATTGAAATATGCTTTTAGGCGCTTTGCCACGCCCCCGGCCAAAGAAACGCCCGCTCTCCACACTGTTTGCCTTCCATTTTGCATACTTCACTTTGTTGTGTGTCTGGGTGCATATTTTATGGAGCTGCGGTCGACCACAGAGACCCACAAAAAAATAAAAAAAAAATGAAACGGAAGAAAAGAGAAAACGGAAGGGAATCTGAATCGAAATAAAAACTGAAGTGAAGCTGCTTAATGTTATGCAAAGTGTTTGAGCCTGCGGCATGCGTAAACCGACGGAAAAAAGCGGCGGAATCGGGCGTTTGGACACCCAATCCTGGTTGTTCGGGTGGTGGATACATCCCCACCATCACCTTTAATTGCTGGCCATTTCAATTCTCATTACAACTTCAATTGACTTTTGCCGGATGCTGGCAGCGGGATAATTGCTAGTGGTGACCGAGCGCTTTTGCTCCACTTAAAGGGTAGCAATGGGTATGCCAGGACCTGCAAACATACGCGCTTTATAGGACTTATCATATCGCAATCCCTCCTGGATCTGCCATAAACATTCATATGCATAAATTTGACATTTGGCTGCTCCATAAAAATACTCCCAGCCGCAGGGCCTTTTGCCTGGTAGTCTCCCCGGATTCCCGAATTCCCGGAGTCTGGGATCTGGGATCTGCGGAAATTTATGCACATAACATCCACTTGACTCCTTCCGACAGACATCCTGCCGCCCCCAAGTGCAACTCTCCAGCTGAAGTCTCAAATGAAAAGCGACAGCCAGCGAGGATGTTCGAGCAAAAATCTGGTTTGCAATTTACAAATTGCGCAAAGGCGGTAGAAAAACAAAGGGAAACAAAAGGAATGCCTTATATTTTATGCAATATGCCACACCGCGTTTTATTAAGCAAATTACGATGAACGAGATGGGTGGATACAATCTCGGCAAGTCCTACTTATGACCTTGGCAAACAGCCTAACGCCTCTGTCCTGAGCCATTTGGCAAACAGACTCAAGACTCTACGCCACTCGCCTCGCATTTTGCTGCTCTTAACGCACATTTTCATATATAAATTATTAATTTCGCATGCCTGCCTGGCCCACATCCACCCCCAAAGGACGAAACCGCACGCCTAAGCAGTCGAAGGATCAGGATGGCGGCAGGAAAGCAAATAAGCGGGCGACTGAAATGCATTTTGTGCTCCATTAAATAATAAAAGCGAACGTGGCAAAGATAGCGTCTCTGTGTCTGAGTTCTTTCCTCTGTGTGGATCTGTATGTACACAATAAAAATCTCACACGAAGCGCATAAAAATAAAGCAAGAGATACCCCAAAGAGGGATGCCCTCCTACACCCAAACACTCACATCTTATCTAATGGCAGAGTCAAAGCCCCCATTGTGATTTTTAAGTTGCTAACCTTTATGGGCAAAGGGAGTTGAGTTGAGTTCAGTTCGAGTGTGTTTTCTGTTCGGCGGAGAAAGTGCATAAATAAGTAAACAAATGCCTGTCGCTTAAGATTACATGGCAAATAAGCTGGCGGAGCAGGACAACATTTGAATGTGGAGGCAAAAGCGAGGAATCCTCGCCGCTTACTTACTTATTCATAGCCAGACCTGAGCGGAAAGTGTGTGTCTTGAGGGGGCATAAAAATCAGCATAAACAGCAATTGTTATGGCCTGCGAATGAAGCCCAGATCAGCTCGGCTCAGAGCCCACATCTGTTTCACTGAATTGAGGTAATTTTGTGCGCCTAAAGCACGCAAATCAATGCTGTCGAAAGGATTTGAACTGCAGCGCAATGAAACCAAAAATAAAACGCTGGATTGAATGTCATTCCATCGGGATACGGATATATATACATTTTAATTTAGCTATGAGCACTCACAATTCCTCGCCAAAATCGGTGGCAAGCAACAAGGGTTGAGATGAGAAATGGGGCTTGCAGCCTGTTTGACACGCACGTGTCCTTGCCAATGACAAGGGAAATTTTACAACTTTCAAGTTTAATTTGCCAAAAGTAGCAATCAACCAAGAGGCAGGAATCCGAAAGAGGGTGGAATGCTTAGAGGACAGAGGGGTGGTTAGGAGAGGACCAACCCTTTCGGGCTAATTGCTTGGAAGTTGTTAAATGTAAAAATTAAAATGTATAAAATGTGTATATTTTATATTAAACTGAGGAAGAACTCTGCAACTGTCAGTCACTCACTTTCGCCCCCGTTCGCACATTTGTTCAGTCGTTCAGTCATCCACTCATTCACTCATTTACTCATTCAGTCATTCATTCATTCAGGCAGAACGTAGTCGGTTTTATGAGGTGTTAAGTGGGCTTAAATTAAAAGTGGGCGTGGGTGGAATGTGACGAAATGTTTGCATATTTATTTAAGTTATGGCAAGGAGCAGCCATCCGAAGGATCCTGGGCTGGCTCTCTCACTCACACTCTCCCACTCTTTATTCCTCTCAGTTGAAGAGGGCTGCAGACTTGACTTTTGTTTGTTTTCCGTTTGACGTGAAGGGGCCACATGTGCGTGTTATAAATTTATATTTAATAAACTTTTGGATCTGCGAGGCTCAAGTGGGTATCACAGGGAATCAGCGCCAGAGATTCCCGGTTGCAGAGGGCGAAGGGCAAAGGACAAAGGACGAGCCGAAGGAAGGTGAAAATGAGGCAGTGATAAGCAAATGGGTGCCAGTTTATAATGAACATATAATGTTTCATGTAGAGCTTACTGGCGTCAGCAGGCAGTTCTCAAGTTCCAATTGTTCTCGACCTTTGTCATGTCCATGTCCTGCTATCTCCCAGAGATAATCTGATTTCCCATTTGCGTATTTTCCCCCGGAACTCTTCTCGCACATTGCACTTTCTCACCGGCAGTACTTATGGGTCCCCTATTAATTATATATTCAAAAAAAGCATCTAGCTTTGTTTGCCTTTGACACACCCACAAACCCAAACTAAGACACCGTGTCACAGGACACGTGGCAGCATTTTGAGTAGCAACATCAAGTTGCTTATTAAAATAATAACAAGGCCGCCCGGAAAAAACTGAACACCAAATGTGTGATGCAGTCAACCCTCAACGATAGGAAAACTAACCCCAGCAATCACAGATGCGGAAACCAACCCCGATAATGAAGAGCCAAGGCCAACCGTGTCTTTAAGTTTTAAAGCCCATAAAACACTGCCCGAATCTATGCCACTTTGATCATCAAATCAAGTTGTATGCTCTCTAACGTCCTTAATTCGGCCCACTCCTTTCGACTGGGTTGGCCGGACCCAGGAAAAGGAACTATTACTGACCCAAGGGACACGACTAAATGAAATCTAAATTAATACAATTTTCGGGTCGCTACGCTTAGTGCAGGACCCAACGCACACATATCTCCGCCTATGAGTCCTTCCACTCACCAACGTCGTCCTGTCATATTGACAGCCAGCGAGATCAAAGATGTGTGCGGAACTGGTGCTCGCAAGGAACTTGCGCTTGTTTTCGTTTTCGGGGAAAATGCAGGGGGATGAGGAGTGGGTAAATTGAGACATGGACATGGAACCAATTTCGTGCCATATTCATATGAAGACCGGGCAGCACGGCATGGCAAATAAAATAAATGGCAATGAATGACTGAGCAAATGAATAA